TAGCGGTGAGGTCAAATTTTCTTTTCACCTTAATCCCAGACTGGCTCACTATGGTTCCTCCAGCTTTTGCAGTAAATGATGCAAGCGACCCACAGATGATAGTCGTCTTCCTGAATGTTGTCTGTTCTTTGGTCCGAATGATGCAAAGGTCCTGCATTGTAGATCAAAGTAGATGTGTACATGGGGACTGAAGTAAGGATTTGTAGTCAGCCTTTAATCCTTCCACTTTCTAATTCTTAAGTATTTGAGTCTTGGAAGTGGGAGAAATTTTCTGCTTTCTACATAAATGTATCCCAGAGTGGGATAGAGAAAGCTTGCCAGGGTTTTCAAAGGTACTTGTTAGGCAGCAAATGAATGTTGAGACTGCAGACTAGTAGGTCAGCTTCTGCGGAGGAACAGGTCCTTCAATGTGAAAAGTGGTAGGTTTAGTATGATTGACACGCATTTTACAGGTATTTTTGTTTTGGAATGTAAAATAAGCATTTTTCCTAATAACTGGGCTATTTTGAAATAATGTTTGATAGTAATTTTCCTTTGTATCAAAGCTTACTATTTTATCTGAAATGCAAGAAATCCAGGTAGCACATTATTTCTATCAATGTATTTTTCTCGTAATTTCTTTGGTTTAACAAATTATTAAAATACATACTTTAAAAATAAATGATGTGCAAATCCATAGATCATTAATCATAGAAAACTAAATGCTTCTCAGCTCACTTTCTTTTCTGAAGCTCTGCTCTGGGCTGAAGATTGTGTGGCATTAACTAGCTAAACACTGTATGAATTAGCTGAACATCACACTAATTGTTAGGTTTTTTTTTTTTTATCCCTTTGTTAATATCATCTTTTGCTGTTGACACCTTTCTTTTTAATTTCCAAAGCATTTGCTATCAGTATACGTTGCTTGGTTGTGTATATTCTAACCTGTTTTCATTTGCAGTGAACTAACAGTTCTTGTTGTAGCTACTGGTTCTTTCTACTGTTCTTTTTTTTTTTTTTTTTAAAATGCTGGACAGGTTTTATTTCGGGTCAGATTTTAATACTTTTTACTCTCTGTTTCTGTTGCTAGTTATATTTTCTGTATCTCTTCATTTCCACGGCTAATACTAATATATATTTGTCTGAGACCAAGGTGAAGTCATTTCTAAATATCTCTTTTAAGTTTGAATTGTTATTTTGAGCTGGCAGAAGGTTGAAGATGAGCCTTGTGATTCTGGGTAGAAAGGAAGCTGAGATAATGTTATTTTCATGATGTGGAGAGAAGGTCCCTGGGAACATCTCTATTTAATGACATAGTCCCATAGTTCTATTTTTTATTTATTTGTTTATTTTCTTCTGTAACTCGGTGGAGGTAGTTCCATTTAGTTCAGTGGGAGTTTCGGGCGTGTTAATGCATGTTATACATTGAGTTAGGCTTTCTCGCTTGGACCCCGTTTTATGTTTCTGCATCATAACATCTCTATTTTATGCACTTGCTGTACTGCACTGTTGCTTTCTTCTCAGTGTACAATCCTGCATACAAGGGGCAGCTGGACAGCCTTACCTACGATTAGTAGATTGGCTCACTGCGATCCTGCGGAGTCACAGAGCAGGAGTGAAGGGGCTCTGCTGAAATGCAGGTTCCTCATCAGTGCTGTACTTGGACCCCAGCTACTTTTCTGTAATGCAACTAGTTGGGCCCTAATGTGACCTGACAAATGCTTTGTCAACACCCTGGTCAAAGGGATGGCATGCACCCTCATCACTTTTGTGGGTGACACCTGGTAGGGAAGCAGCTGATATGCTGGAGGGCAGGGCTGTTATAGAACTTTTCATCTTTTTGGTGCGACGAATTGTGATAGTCATCTTTGCGAATAGAGGCTTGATACAGAAATCTATTTTAAATTGAGAAAATTAAATTTAATCAGATGTTTCAGCTGCCTCTTGTTCTAGGTAAAATCTGTGGCTGTTGTATTTGTCCTATATATTTGAATGATTTAGATTTTAGGTACACTAGGTGGTCCTGCTTTCTTGAGAAAATTCAGATGTAGTGTTGAAAGTGTCATTTTTCGATGACTTTATCTTTTAAAGTTTCTCGTGTTATTTTCAGTATGCATAAGTCCATGTTCCCAATTTTCAGATTGTGTTCTTCAGCAATTTGGAAAAAAATATTACATAATTTTATGTGCAAAATCACTTAAAACTTTAAAGCATTATATAGGAGGTGATGTTTATAGTCAGGATAAAATAGAATCAATAACACTTTTAAATCTAAATTAGACTTCAATTTTAATTAAATATGAAAGCATGATGACCTACTACTATATTCAAATCAATTACATAAAATTAAAATAACTTTTTAAACCCTGTAAAATTTAAGAGGGTCATACCACTGAACCTGTGGGAGTTGTTGGCTAACCACATCAAAACCAGAGTTGTTAACTGCTAATTTAACGTTCTAGTAGTCTGAAGTCTTGCTGTCTGGCAAAAATGTTTTCACATTTGCGATTTAGTTCTTTCAGTGGGTCGTTCAGAGCTGAGAAACTTCTCAGGGGTTATAAAGATAGGAAAGCTTATCTTCCCCTGCTAATCTGTGAGTAAAAACAAGGTGTCAAAGATGTATTAGTTCTGCAATTTTGAGGAGCACTGGGGAAAAGAAAATCAGTCCAAGTCACTTGAGGGTAAAATTTCATTTGTTTGATAAATTGATTAATTAAAAAATATAAAAGATTTTTTTAATTTTATTTTCTAAAATATGTAGTTCACTTAATGTATTTTTATTTAATAGTTGAATGATTTACAATTTCCTTCTAAATGCAGTTTGAAAAAAAAAAGAGTAAAAAACTAATAATCTATTAAATAAAAAATATCACTTAGGATTTTCTGACCTAATAGAAAGCTAAAATTAAAATCCTGAATGAATTCATGTGAAACTGTATAAATCTATGTATTATATAGCCCGTGATAGTAAAAAGTAGTACCAGTCTTAATCTATAGGCTTTGTTTAGTTGGAAGATCGTCATGTCTTGGCATATAAATCATTGAGAAGAAAACTTCTTTTAGAAAACAAAAGGTACCGGTGCAAAAGATAACACTGACATTGGTAAATCAAGCTGAGATTTCTTGCTTGTTGATTTCGATGATGATTGCAATATACAGTTAAAATCAGTTGCTGCTCGCTATCCTTTTCACAATGATTTGTAGGTGAATTTTTATTTCTAACCTATCTAGCCCCTGCGCGATGACAGATTCTTTTATTTTCTCTTAGTAATTTTTCTTCTATCTTCACTTCTGAATTTAGTTTTATGGAGGGAGAGGGGCGAAAATCCAGGGAGAAGTACACCAGTCCCATGTTATTCCAGTCACATGTTAAATTTCTCGTTTGTACTCTCAAGATGATCATGACTTTGAAAAAAGATTGTAACTTTCTCCCAAAGTTTAATTTGTCTATGCCTTTTTGCTATAAAAACAAAATCTTCTTTCTTACTTGTTACTAGCTTTGCCTTCTAGAATATCTTCTGCAAGAAAATAATATTGATGAATTTGTAGAAGGTTCTGGGGTCATCAAGCTCATTGATATTTGGCTTCTCATTCAAAAGTATTTTTGAGGCTCATGTTTCAGATTTCTGAATACTGAAAAAGTACATTCTCCATTTAAAATGAGGATAGATTCCTTCTCGCTTGATAAATCAGATACCTAATTTTTAGTGTAGAAATACTTTATTCCATTTATTTGATCCTTTTTATCCTTTTTTCCTCTAATATATGCATTTCTTATGTTTATGTCCTTAGAAAGTAAATTTAATTACAAATGCATGTGTTTTCTTGCACTTTTAATAACAGCAACTGCTGATGTATCAGTTATGATTTCAAAATATTAATTGATATTATGGAATAATTATGATCCTTTATTATGGACTGAAAGGGAATAATAAGCACTAGTGTGTTTCTACATTTCTTGAATTGGAAAGGACTTTGTTATCTAATGTTTGTTTTAGCATGTTGTGAAGTGTTTGGAGTCCTGTATGATTAATGCATTTGGAGTAGACGTTTTGTAGACTCTTTGAACTAACTGTTTTAATATTTACATCAGGTTGCAGAGAACATTATTTGATAACCTAGGCAGTTTTCTTCAGTTCTATGTGCATATGTTGCTAAAAAGAAGTCTTGCTGTCAGTGGAAGAAGGCTTGGTGGGCATTAGGGTATTTTGAAGATACAGGCCGTGCCTTGGAAGTGCTTGGAATTTTAAGGTTTGACCTTGGGGAATATCATTCTAAACTGTGTTATTTTAAAAGAGAATGAAATCACTAATATTATAAATGTATACAATATGAAGTAATAATACAACCCAGCCCTTTCAACAATTCTTAGATACCATCACAAGAATCTCTTCAACAGTTTGTAACTGCCTTTTCTTTTATACTATTTCTAAGACTTCTTAAGAAACCAGATACATTTTATCTGTTAATATTTTCTAATAATTTATTTCCATATAGGTGGAGAACGAACTTGTGGTGTACATGAGCTAATCTGCATTAGAAAAGGTAAGCAATGGTTTATGAAAACTAACGTTTTAGCCTGGGAAGAGCGCGAGTGAGAAATCTGCTACCCCCTGTTAGTATCTTACATTTTCTAGATCATTATGTCAGACCTTTGTATTGCAGAATCTTTGGTGACATCATCAAAGAAAAGAAGAAAAAATCATGCAATAAACAGAAAATTTGAAATTCCAAAATAAAATTGAATTTTTCACAAGAGAAAATGTTTTTCCCAGTACTCACTGAATTACATGGAAATGCTGAATGTTCTCCAGCTGTGGCTGGATTCTTGTAGGAGGATTTGATTTTCGGTAGTGATTGAGAGTTGTGGTGATACCTTAAATAGTTGATGTAATGGACTGGCAATCTCAGGCTATTTTTTCAGCTCAGATCCTAACGACACAAGCTGCTTTGAAAACAGCTATATCAGTAATGAAACCAGTAATTGGTAAGAGCATAAAACAGAACTGTACTCAAGAGAGGGCTTTTATATGTTTAAATTTGAGTTACAATGACTGAAGTTGCAGTTTGATGGTACAGCATTGCTGTTGAAGCTCTGTGCATTTGATCTGAAAACTAATCTTTCAAAAGAAGAATTATTTCCTCAGAGTCAATAATTTCCTTGAATTGACTCGCCCTTGGCTCAGAAGAGTCATAGGGCTTTTAAAAGAAAAGGAGTGAGAAAGTAGCAGGAGAGGAGGGCTGCAAGATTCTCTCTTTTGGCCGAAGCTGTTCGATTGGTTAATCAGCATTGTCACACTGTATCATGCTTGGTAGGAAGAAATTTTGTGTGGCCTTTGAATAGAGCTTAGTTTCCAAACTGTTTACCTGTACTGCATTCACTTACAATTTTAGTAAATATAGTTTTTTTGGAAACACTTACTTATTATCTGCTGGCCTCAGAAATAAATCTATCAGTCAAGGTGAAAAATGGCTTTGCTGTCACAAGTTTTCTTTTACGAAACATTTTATTGAAAGAATAATTGAAGGAATTGTATGTCATTTGACAATATTAAATTAAAAAATTAAAATTAAAAAATTTTTTCCTCTCTTAAAAAAAAAAAAAACCTCTGAATAATTCCATTCTTGCTTTTTATAAATTCTTTCTCATTTAAGGAGTTTGCTTCTTCCTTTTTCTTTTCCCTCCACCCCTCTTTATGGCTCTCTCTGTCATTCCACTGACCATCAGTGCACACAGTGTTCTGTATTCTTGCCTTAATCATGATAATCCCTGTTTATTTCGGGGCACTGTACCAATTTTAAGAAAAACAATCTTTTTGTGTTCTTGGAGGCAATGCTTTTTGTTTGATTTTATTGTCATTGCTGGAAAATAAATTGAAAAGCGTGCATCTTTTTAAGGTTCTGTGTTATGTTTGGACATTTGTGGCTTGTGTGATATTATTTGTAATAATGGTTGCATTGAACCTGTGTTGTAGTTTTGATTATTATAAATTAACCTAGGGATAATCTTGGCAGTTATAAATTTGCCTAGAGTAGTAACTTACTACCATTTATATCTGTAGTATGTCGAGTTCTTTCTTTCCTGATGTGAGTTCTTGTGTATTCTAACCAGGGGTGCCCGCATACCCCGTCATGCCACTGGCAAGTTTCTCCTTGGAGAGTGTGGAGAGGGTCTGTTCCTGTGTGTCCCCTCTCCCTACTTGCCTGCCGTTGTTTTTGTTGTCACTTGTCCTATTGAGAAGTTTCCAGTTTCAAGGGAGAGAGTGTAACTGGCGTGTATACATGGGTTATACAACTTGAAGAACACATGATCCTGGAGATTAGTTTTTTTATGATTAGTAAACTAACCCGTTCCCATTTGTCATCTTCTTGCCTGCCCACTCATTTGTGTTGGAGGAAGTAAAAACCTTGGGGTCTCAGATGATGACACGTGAAAAGGGACCAGAAAGGTCTGCAAGGCTGTGTGTGACCACACCATATAGCTCAAAGTTATTTAAAGAAATCTTCTGCAGTAGCATAATATATATGAAGAACGGAGGAAGAGACAGCTACTCTATATTAATTAAATGTTAACATTTTTCTTTCCTCTAGCTGCATATATGAAGGCATAATTGTAAAAACAAAAAATGATGCTTATGAAGGAAGTGTTCGTTCCAAGAACATTCGGTTACTAAAATGAGAATCTCTGAAACTTCACTTTTCAACTTTTTTCTTTCTTGAAGTTTTGCGTTTCACTCAAATTAGGAAAAATCGTGAAGTTTTTTTTTCTTGTAAATGTTCATTATTTTCACTTTTTAGGTACTCAGGGCTGCAGTATTGGGGCTGTAAACAGTGCAGAAGAGTTTTCATTTATTTAAAAGCATCGATTTCACTGATGTTAACAATACTTCCACTGAAATGAATAAAATTCATTTGGGTTGTAGATTTATTTTTAGCTTTTTGAGATTCAAATATTCGCAAAATTAATGCGTTTTGAATATCTGAGATTATCTAAAGACTAGTATAAATGCAATAATCAATACTGTAGCAACACGGAGCTCGGATTTGCTAAGCAAAAGGTACTGCAACTGTCTTGTAGAGAGTGGGCTCCCATGTCACGTGGTGCTGTCATGGCTCCATAGTCGCCCAACCAATGTTGTGGTGGGTCCACTTCTAACCTGCAAAATGTAGTTTACGTTGCTCTTGTGGTGTTTTATCTATTCAGGTTCCTTTTAACAAATTCCTATATTTTTGTGAGTAATCTATCAGAAATTGATCAGAATTAAGAAGATTGATAGGCTTTTTTGGAAAATCCTGAAAACTGATTTATGTGCTCTTAAATGAGGCTTTTTCTAAAAGCGTAAATATAGAGGGTGTGTCCTGAAAAATCGACATATTTTGTTGCAGTTACGTGACACTTAATAACTGCAGAATATAAAACAAGTCATTTTCCAGCTAAAGAAAAGGTACATTACAGAAATATCAGTTATTGTTGAAGTGTGGTAATACAGCATGTAAATTTGTGACTTCTGTATGCGATACAGCTAGGTGGTTGAACTGTGTGTATATTGTGTTGTGTTTTGGAACGTGAAAAAAAAAAGCGAGAGTTTTTGTACTTCTATTATAAATGTTTATGCTACTCAGTTAAAGGTATTTTTGCAAACTATGTTCCTAACACCCAAATGCACCCAAATGTTTTTGAGATAATCATGGGAATTATATAAGATGCTCCTTTGATTATTTGCTATGAAAAAATTTAGGGAACTTGAGGTCAGACTTCCAAAAAAATGTGTGGTTTTTGGCTCTGTTGCACACTATAGCAAGGCTATTAGTCTGACTTGCAGTTGGCTGTTGTTAAATGTGCTGATATTTTAATTAAGGCTGCTTTTCATGTTCTGTTTGTACATATGAGACAGACTCATGATGAGTGGTTACAATATTGAGCTGTAACTGAAAAAACTCCTATAATGTGTTTTCATTTTCATTGTACTGCATAGAAACAATATTAAAGCAAAAAATGTATAACAGCATTATTTTTAGGTCTCTTTCACCTTTTGTTCTTTGTTTATATTTTTTTGAAGTAATGTGAAGCAGTACTTTAAACTTGGCAAAGAATTTCATATTTAAACCACAGAAATGTAGTTTGAGTATCTGTCTAAGGTCTGAGTTGCAGAGATTTTTTAACACTATTTTTATAAGTCCCTTTTTTCTTTTATAAAGTGTTCTTTTCTTTCTATTGTTGTGGCAGCCTCAGCAAACAAAGGAAATAGTTCAGCACTGTCTTTATGGCTAATAATGGAACAGAATTTCTCTTTAATATGCAAAATAAAGAAGTTGCAAAGAGGCAGTTTCCTTGGATGACAGTGTAAAATGTCACTTTTAATAATAATTTTGAAAAGATAAGGTATTAATTTTTCTTTTGTCATAACCATATATTAGGTAGAACTATGTCCCTGTTAATGTTCAGGTCAACTAATGATATCCACTTCCATGTATTTTAGTGTGAAGTTGCCAACTGCATTTAATTCAAATAGGAAGAAAACAATACTTACTCATGAGTTTCATTTACAACTAGAAACGTTTTTATTCAGTCAACTGCATTTGATATTCAAGATATATATTTAAATTTTTTTTGATTCTTACACTAAAGGAGTGGCATTGAAAAAGAAACATGGAAGTTTTTCCTTTTAGAAATAACTTTTTTTCCTTTGGCAGAACTTTTTGGGCCAATAGTTATTGTTCAGGAGAAAGATGACAACATAGACAGTAGCCAATTTCTTTAATTTAGGTAACCTCACAAATATATGTTATTACTATTCATTTTAGAGTTCATGTATGGAGAGTACAGAGTTCACTGGGCTTTCTCTTATTACCAAGATGTGAAAAAAAACTCTCTAGTAAAAAAAAAAAAATACACAATTCAAGCTATGTTTATGATATACTCTGAAAGCAGTAATTAGTCTGTTCATAACTGCACACTACTTAATTTTATATAGACAAATATATATATTTTTCAGACTAGAAATACATAAAGTTCTATATCTTTTATTCTGTGACTACTAAATTTAAAAGGGATCTGGGTAATATGTGTAAGTATGCCTGGGTATTCAAAAATTGGAAGTAATAATGTTAGAATTATAACATTAGAGCAAGCACTGAATCTTACACTCTGTTGGAAAGCTAATCTGAATACTTTTGTACAACGGAAAGTTTTATATGAAACAGACACTTTTCTTTGAGATGATTGCCCATGCAGGAAGCAAAGTGTGTTTCTGCTTGTTTTTCCATCTTTGGAGTCTTCTGCCAAGCAGCACCTTCTGGGGTCACTTACTTCCAGCTATCTCAGTTCAGTTTCTTCTGTAGCAAGTTTTATGTGCCGGAACGTTGCTATATCCAAACTCTGACTTCTTGGCATTTTTTCGCTTAGGATTTTTATATAATCATTATTCCTGCACAATGCTTTGCTACATTTGCTAGTTAGTATTTGGATCCAGTATCTGGATCCTTGATTGTCTCACGCTTTGTTAGTTGTAGTGATTGATTGGATTGCCAAAAATGTGGTTTAA